ATTATATACTACTAACTTATAAATGAAATGCCGTGATACTGTATATTTATATCAAATTTATAATATTTAACATCATACCACATTTGAGAAATTGGGTTTGACATACCATAAGGGTCACTTGGGTCAGTCAGTATGTTTGTCTTTCAATTTGATCTTTACGTCCTAAGGCTTTTTTGACTACATTGAGAGTTATTGCTGAAGCAATAAATTGCTTTCATGAGGGAACCCGATTTACTGGGATTAGTACTCAATTTAGGTTCACATCAAATGGACGCATATCTGTAGAGATAGGTATAGCACACAGAGAATTTGGAGATTAGCAAGCTTAGAAGAAAATAGACTTGGATATATATTTGCCTGGATGAATGGATAAAAGTCAGCTTATATGGTAGGAGGTAAAGGCAAATGGTTTCTTTACTTTTCAGAGGAAATGGGAAGGCGTCAAATTGGCACCTCCTGTAAACCTGGTGTTCACAGAGTACTGAGCTTAGAAGGTGGCGAGCCAACTCCTTTGACTCTCACCTTCTCACCTCGGCATTTTCAGAGCAGCAGTTCTGTTAGGTGAGCTGGAGGCAGAACAAGGGGTTGTCCTTCTTCCACATGCCAAAGCCTCCCCCTCCCCTTACAGGAGGTTGAAAGCGGCTTAAAGCTGGAGGGCAGGCTCACCTTCAGGTCTTTGAGACAGGAAGCCGGTAAACCTGGGTGGGACCCCATCCAGGCCAGGTGGGCTTAATTCAGCCAATGGGGTCCCTGAAAAGCCTGACGTTTATCTCCCTGGCTCTCTCCCAGCGGCTGCCACACAGTGCAGCGGCCAGGCCGCGGTTGCACACACTGATTCACTTCTATGCCTTATAAACTCACTTGGGTCACAAACCAGGCTTCAGCGTGAATTCTTTCTCACCCAAAGCCAAGGACTGAGGTGTGTCTCTCCCACGGGAGACTAACAGTCCTGTTGACATTGCACACAGACTCCGAGCGTGAACTCCGGGTTGGCACTGACTGCACTCAGCCTTTCTCTTTCCCTGTGTCAACCCACCTTGACAAGGTCATGGCTTCGAGAAGTGTGTGTGCGGGGAAACGACCTACCCTCCTGCCTCTCTTCCTCTGTGCTGAGAGGGTCCCTCGAGTGAAGGACCAGCCTGGGCTTTCTGACTCCGTCCAGGAGCCACACAACACTGGCTGATCCTAGAATTCCATCAACAAGGCCTAGGACACCCTGAGAAGAGGGCAGAGATGACCATGGCATCCTCCTGGTAGCGTGTGTCCCTCCTGAGAGGGACATGGACCATCTCAAGGCACCACTCAGCTGTGCTCTATGTGGGACAGTGTTTTCAAACTCTTGGTCCTAAATATTTTTTCCTTATTCTCCACTCTTGAGGTCCAAAGAAGCTGGAGAGGCCGTTGACCAGTGGTTCTCAACCTTCCTAATGCCGCGACCCTTTAATACCTTTCCTTAGGTTGTGGTGACTCCCTCACCCGTAACATTATTTTCTTCTTCTTTTTTAAAATCATTTTATTGGGGGCCCGTACAACTCTTATCACAATCCATCCATCCATCCATCCATCCATTGTGTCAAGCACATTTGTACATTTGTTGCCATCATCATTCTCAAAACATTATTTTCGTTGCTACTTCATAACTGTCATTTTGCTACTGTGACGAATCGGGCGACCTCTGTGAAAGGGATGTTCGATCCCCAAAGGGGTCTCGACCCACAGGTTGAGAACCACTGCTGTTGAGGCTAAAAGAGCATTGGAGCCTGCTTGTTTACTCTTGGCCTTCCCCTGGGGGAGTTGAAGCACAGCAATCTTGTGAAGGAGCAGGGGGGCCAGGTCCACTGGAAGTCCTCTTGCTCATGACCAATTTAAAAGGTGCAGTCCGTTGGAATCAAAACAGACGTGTTGAAGGTGAACTTTAAAAACAGCTGCTTTAATATTAAACTTTCTGCTAGATCTCCAAAAGCAACAATTACGTAAACTTCAGGAAGGCTAAGTGCACATGGAATTTGCCTTTGGGGCACTGTTCTAAGAAGGATCAGTACTTCCCTTGGAGAATGCTAAAAAAAAGGGTGCCTGCTACACACCTGCTCTTGACAAGGCACTCCGTTGAGATTTAGTCTCAAGAGCCTCAAACACAGGATGACCCTGGAGCTACCCACAGCCAGGCAGCCAAGACCTGCACTGAGATTCCAGTGAACGTTCAGCATGTAACAATTTTTTCCTCATGTTTGTTGTCGATCAATCTGGCAAAGTCTATATTACCATCCCTTTCCTATAGGACAAAGAAACCGAGGCTTAGAGACGTGAAGTTCTGTGGCTTAAGGCAGAGTAAGTGGGCAGGCTGGGATTTGAACCCAGGCTTTCTGTCCTTAAATTCGGTGCTCTTTTCTGAAACTCTACAATGGCTCCTTGGTTCCCGACCTGAGAG